GTCGGGGCTGCTCTGAACCTTGTTCTGGTGGTGCTTGTTTTCCTGAGCCTTTGACCTGGGTTGCAGCTGGACCATCTGACTCGTGACGCTGCTACAGGGCTCTACCCCTTGGGTGTCTCATCCCAGGGTGTGTTTCAGACACCACGATGCCTCCAGGGTGCCTTGTCTCCCCATGCATTGCTCCCACCATGGTCCCGTGCTCCTGGCCGTGCCAAGGTCCTGTCAGCTGTTGACCAGGGTGGCTCAGGAGCACAGGAACCACCTCCAGCGCTGCGAGGGGAAGGAACCTCCCACTGCAGCCTCCCTAGACCTTCACTTGGGATGCTTTGGGGAGGAGCACAAGCTGGTAGTGGGCACCCTACTTCAGTCTGTCCATGGCATGGCTGAGCCTGTGCATCCATCTGTTAGTCCCTCCATCACCAGGGAGTGATGGTGGTGGTGGAGGGAGGTGGGGGCCACGCTGGGCGGGCGGTTGCAAGGAGAGGGGGAGGAAGTGGGGACAAAACCCGGTGGAGGGGACAATTACAGCCTTTCTCCAGGCTGAAAAGACGCCAGGGTCCCTTCCGTCCTCGTCCTCCGTCTGCCGAGGGCGGACAAAGCCACCGCCCCTGGTGCCCACCCAGCGCCCAGGGATTAGAAAAAAGGCGAATTTTGATTTTCTCCCTTTGTTTCCGGAGCCCGGGAGCAGCTCGGCATCAGCTTTGCTGCTTTCTTCTCCCTCTGCGCCGTGCCTGTGCACGGCTGACCAACCGGTGGCTTTTCCGGAAGGAGGGTGATTTATTTAAAATTAAAGGAAAGCAGAAGTTCTTCTCTTGAAGATGAGACTTCTTAGGTCGGTGGGAGCTGATGGCTTTCCAGCCATGCAGCCGAAACACTGGGGAGCCGGCTGGAATTTGCAGCTTGTCATTTTTTTTAAGAGAAGTGAAGCTTCTCTCCTGCTCCCCACTGACAGTGAATGGTGCCTCCAACTTGGGAGGACTCTCAGTTCATTGGCTGGCAGGGGTTTCTCCGGGTGCTGGACCACCAGAGATGATCCTTTTGCAACCTTTATTTATTTTGGAGTTGTTAGGACTATTGCAGCACAGCCCTCTGTGTGCGGTGTGCAGGGAGCCCAGGGCAGAGGAAGGGGGATGCAGGATGGTGTGGTGCTGAGAGCTGGGGGAAGATCCAGGGAGTGGAGAATCCCATTTTTTTCCCCCAGGACCATGGGAGAGCGCGACTGCCCCATCTGAGCACCCCAGGCTGGTGGTAGGCAGGTCTTTCGGGTAACCCTTGGAATGGTTTGGATTTGAAGGGACCTTGAAGACCATCTTGTTCCAACTCCATGCCATTAGCAGGGACATCTTCTACCATCCCATGTTGCTCCAAGCCCCATCCAGCCTGGCTGTGGACACTTCCAGGGACGGGGCAGCCACAGCTTCTCTGGGCAACCTGTGCCATGGGTGCTGTCCCTCACCCCTGCAGCACACCAGGCTTTTAGACCCCGTGGGCTCAGCCTGGACCTAGCAGTGTGGTTCATTGCAGGGGAGGAGCAGTGTCCTGCGAAGGGCTGGGAACCCCCTGGGCGTGGGTTGGGGCCTCCTGACCTTGGTGGTGTCCCCTTGAACCCTGGCGTCCCTCCAGGCCGCTAAGCTGCCCCGTGCAAAGACCCGGCCGAGGGAGCCCATCACGTGCCCTTTAATGCCGCGGCCGGGACTAAGCACCTTCTGACAGGGACCCAGATGACGCTGCCCGGCGCCTTCCCCAGGGATGGGGGCCGGAAAAGGGGCAGGAACGGGAAGGGGGGGGGGGGGCTCGCTGTCTTTACTCGGGTCAATCATAAAGAAGGGATTAAGATCATTAATTCCTCCCCCCGCTGCAATTAACGACGGGGCCGGGCAGCGGCTGGCGAGGAGCAGAGATGTCGGCTGTGCTGGGTGGTCCCGCGGTGTCAGAGTCGGGGGGACCCCCCTTTTGTGCAAACTAGGCGGGCACCCCCAGCACACGGATCCTGGGGTCCCGGGAGGGGACAGTGTGGGGACAGCCCCGTCCCAGCTGGCACAGCCGCGGTGTCCGGCGCCTGCTGCCGCGGTGGCCCCGGGGGCCGGAGGGCAACGCCGGGTGGTTGCAGATGGTGGGAGCTGGCGCAGGCAAAGCGGCGGCCGGGACAATAGCGGGATTGTGCAGTGGTGCCGCTGGCACAGCTCGGCACGGCTCGGTGCAGCACCCCGTGCCAACAGCGGGCACTGCCTCGCGCCTCTGGGGCTGAGCGGGGCCACGGCGCTGTGTGCCCCGTGTCTCCGGCGGTGCTGGGGGGCTGCACCAGGTGGGCTGGGGTGCCCTTGTCTCATCGTGCGACCCACTGCAGCCGTGGGTGCTCAGGGGAGCCCCGTGCCAGGCTCTGCATCCATCGCCCCGGCTGGGAGGGCTGTGAGTGAGGGGCTCAGAGCTGCTGGCACCCCATCCATGTGGCGTGGTGGGAAGGCTGGCAGGTCTGGCTGGCTGCAGAGGAAGATGGGAGCTGGTGGAGACGGTGAACACAGTGTGGCTTCAGCTGGTGTCCTCCCTACTTTTGGCACCTAGACCCCACCCCGTGGGGCTGTGGGGACGCCTCGGTGTGGCATCGAGCCCTACATCGGCACAACTCGGCTCTTCGCCAGGGTGATGCAAGCGTGCTCCTGGTTGTGGCTGGGGACCCCCCGCAGCCCCCTGGCAGCCACAGGGCGAGCAGGCAGGGTGGCAAATCCGGGGCCGATCCTGCCGGGCGCTTGGCTCCCAGCTGGGCGCGGAGCCGGGCGGAAGAGGCGCAGGGCCGCAGGAAAGGCGGCCGCGGGCAGGCGTGAGATAACACCCCCGGGCGCTTTATCTCACATCCTCCCGTCCGGTGCTTTTCCTGCTGCGCTCCCCGCTCCGGCCCCAGCGCCCCTTGCTTTCGGCACTGAGGTGTGACCCGTCCTAAGGTCTCCAGGGGCGGGTCCCCCACCTCCCTGGCACAGGGAGATGGTGATTCAGCTGCACGGCAGGAGCCCGCCCACGCTCCCAGCCCCCTTCAGCCGTTTGGGGCGCACCCCACCTGGCCGCCACCCAGCATCCCCCCCTGCGTGGGGCTGGGGAAGGGCAGCTCGTCCTGCCGCCGCAGCCCTCCCTCCCCACGTGGCCTGGCGAGCTCCCGGCTGGAGCCCAAGCCCTGCATCGATCCGCGCTGCATCTTAAATCCCGCAGCAGCTGAAGCAAGCGGTTTTCAGCGCCAGGGCGGGGGGGTTTCTTCGTGGGCGAGCCGGCTCTGGCACCGGAGTGAGACACCAGGGCTGCTTCCGCAGCCGGTACCGCGGTGCTTGGCGCAGGGACCTTGCCCCCATCGGCGCTTTAACGAGCTGTGTCCGTGGGAAAAGGGTCCTGGGCTGTTACGGGGTTCCTGAGATTATACGGGACAAGGGGACCCGAAGGGTGATGGGTGAGCAGGAGTGGGGTGTGGGGGGCGCAGGGATCCTCCTCACTCTGCTGCATCACCCCTGCGCAGGAGCGAGGGTCGCAGCAGGGCCCTCCACACGTGGCCACATCCCTGCCTGGACTCCAGAGAGGAGGCTGCCGGGATAGCCAGGATGGAGGGATGGGGTAGCCGAGGGGCCTCCTCCCAGTGCCGCCCTCCCCCAGCTGCCGCCGGGGTGGGGACGCGGGTTCCTGCTCCACTAAGCCCTGCAGCTTTTCTCCTCTAAAGCCTGATTACTTGGCGGTGCCTGTGCGTGCGTGTGTGCTCGGGAGGGAGGAGGAGGAGGAATTTCACAACAACAAGTGTTTGCAGCCACACTGGGCCCAGCTGCCCGCGAGTTGCCCCGGGGACAGTGGCATAGCCTCCGTTCCGGGAAGGCTTTGCCTGTCACCGCAGAGCCCGGGGCTCCTCCGGAGCGGCCAGGCATGTGGGCTGGGCACACCGGGCATGGCAGGAGGTCAGCACTGGGGCTTGGAGGTGGATGCTGCAGCATCTTGGTGGGGTTTGGAAATGGACACCATGGCTGCCCATGGGATTTTGGGATGGATATGGCAGCTCTTGGTGGGGTTTGGAGCTGGACACCATGGCTGTCCATGGAATGTGGAGATGGACAGTGCAGCTCTTGGTGGTGGGCTTTGGAGGAGGGTGCTGTGGATCCCCGTGGGGCTTGGAAGTGGACGCTGTTGCTTTCCGCGTGGCTTCCTTCCCCAGCCCAGTGCTGGCCCAGGGACATGAACCAGGAGGAGAAGGAGGATGAGGAACAGGAGGAGGGTGAGGGGTGCAGCCTAGCCTGAGCTGGGTGAGCAGCATCACTAGGGGCCATGGGAGCTGGGATGCTGGGGGAACACGGGCAGCTGCAGGGTGGGAACCAGGCACCCCTTTCATGAGCTCCAGCTCCCAGCTCGGGAGCATCCCGCCGGCGCCTGCGGTGCCATCCGGCATGGGGCCGCACGCCGCTGGAGCGGAGCAGGAGATGAGCCCCGTGACTTCCCTGGGGCTGCCGTCCCTGGGGGAGGAGAGCCAGGCACAGAGAGTCTTTAAGCACCGCAGTGCCATTGCTACCAGGCCAGGACTTCCCCTGTGACCCCCCACTTCTGTCTGGATGGCGACCCTTTTAGAGAGCAGCGGAACGGATCTCCACCGAGGTCCGTTCCCTGGAGTTCCTTTGTTCGCGGCGCTGAGACTTTCATGGCAGGGGGAGGAAGAGCCGCTTTGAAAAGCCCATTGGCTCTTGCCAGCGCTAACTCTCTTTTCTTTTCTCCTTCCAGAGCCGCGTGGTGTGTCCCAGAGCCGCAGAGTATGTCTGTGCACTGAGCGCCCTGAGTCCTCCGCAGCCGGCGCGGGGAGGAGACGCCCCGTTGATGCGCGTTCCCGTCTGAGCGTCCCCGGTGCCCGGCGGGCTGGTGCCACCAGAAGGGCTTTGGGGGTTTTTTGCTTTGGCATTGGGGGTGGGGTTTGGGGTGTTTTTTTTAAATTTTGGGGTTTTTTTTCGTCTTTTTTTTTTTTTTTTTTTTTTTTTTTTTTTTTTTTTTTTTTTTTTTTTTTTTTTTTTTTTTAAATTTTGGGGGTTGCTTTCGTCGTTGTGCTCCGAGCACCATGTCAAATTCGGGCTCCCATCAAGACACTGGGAACAAGCCAGAGACGGAAAAAAATAACCAAGATGACTCTCAACCCCCCGTCAACTCCGAGAGGAGGAACAAAAGTGGAATAATAAGTGAACCTTTGAACAAAAGTCTTAAGAAGTCCCGTCCACTCTCCCACTATTCCACCTTTGGTAGCAGCAGCTCTGTAAGCGAACATTCAGAGAAAGGCAACCCCTTAGCTAATGGCAACGATGCGACTGTGGATAAAAGTCATTCTACCTCAAAGCACAAAAACATCTCTAGTATGCTGAGCAAATTAGACCGGATGTCGGAGCTCTCCTCAGAAGGACAGACCGCCCTCCAACAGTTTGCTCAGTCGACAGAAATGCTCAAAAGAGTGGTACAGGAGCATCTTCCTCTAGCAGGCGAGCACGGGACTGGTATCTCTGACATGGAGGCAGTCTCAGCTGCAGAGACAATGAACGGCCCCTCTGATTTTCCTTACCTGGGGGCTTTTCCCATCAACCCAGGCCTTTTCATTATGACCCCTGCCGGCGTGTTTCTGGCAGAGAGCGCGCTCCATATGGCTGGCTTGGCAGAGTATCCCATGCAGAATGAGTTGGCATCTGCCATCAATTCGGGGAAAAAGAAACGGAAAAGATGCGGCATGTGCCCGCCCTGCCGAAGACGGATAAACTGCGAGCAGTGCAGCAGTTGTAGGAATCGCAAAACTGGCCACCAGATTTGCAAATTCCGAAAATGTGAAGAACTCAAAAAGAAGCCTTCTGCAGCACTGGAGGTAACCGGCCCCTCTCAGGCACCCTAACCCCTCCTTGGGCTGCGCTCCTGGGTTCGGATCTTGCCCTAGATAATAAAACACCTGGTACTTCTTACTTTTTTTTATTTTTCCCTTTTCCATTAACAGCTCTTGCAACGAGATGTGTGCTCTGCCCAGTGCCCCCAGACCCCGCCCCTCCTTGCATACTGGGGTTGATTGGTGTGGGGAGGAGGGCTGGGGTCTCTCCCTGGGGCACCTGGGCACGCTGAGCTCCACTCTCCTCTTTGCAAGAATGGGGGCTCTGATGGGGTTTTGGTGGTGGTATCCCTTGTCCTGAGCGGATGGCAGCTCCCTGGGCATCTAACCCCAGGGGGTGGGGAGGTAGGGGGTGACTTTTTGCGTCAAAGCTCAGAGTAACTGGTGATGGTGAAACTCGTGGCTGTGGGTGCAGCCAGAGCCCAGCCCCTCAGCTCAGTCCGCTCTGAGCACAGCAGTCCCTGGTTTTGGGGGTAAACTGCTACAGTGTGCACTGGGCGGCATCCCCTGTGATGTGGCTGTGCCAGGTCTCCCATCCATGGGCCAGCATCCATTTGGGATGGTCAGGATGAGGCCATAAGGCACCAGCTGGATTTACCAGTGGTAACAGTGCTGCAGTCCCCTCTGGCAGTGCCCCTGCTTCGGCACCCTGTGGAACTGGGAGCACCCCTGCTCCTGCTGGGGATGCCCAGGTACCCTGGGGTGAGGCTCTGGGACGGTGCTTGGGTTGTCACTGCCCTCCATGGCCCACCTGTGGATGTTGCCCTTGGCTTTGGAGGAGAGCTGTTGGGTTGGGGTGTCACCTTGCCAAATCCACCAGGGATGTGTGACATTCATGTGGGGACCACAGGGAAAGTCCAGTTGTGTGGGTCTGAAATTCAGCTTGGGGCCATGGGCAGCTGCTGGTGGCATGGTGTGGTGTGGGTGAGGGCTGGGTGCCAGCAGTGCAGGGGTGTCCCATGGTGCTGCAGACCCACGGGTGCTCTGGGCCTGTCTGCAGGGTCCCCAGCGTGTGTGCTTAAGCCAGGTTTGATTCTTCTGTGAGCTGATCCCACCATCAGCTGTGCTTTGTCCTTCTAGTGAGCGCATCCCCAGAGCTGGCAGAGGCTAAAAAGTCACCTGGACATCAGAGCTGGACTGTGCATCCTGGCATGAGGGCATTGCCCATCCTCTAGTGGTCCCAATGCAACCAAAACCCGCTGCTCCCTTAGCCACGTCCTACGTTTTTCAATTAGCATCAGCTCTGAATGAATACTGAAGGGGAAAAAAAAAATCTATTTGGGCGGTGGGGATGAGGAGAGGGGGACTGTGTCTTTCAAAAACCGCTGTATTGCTAAATTATATTCTTGTTCTAATTTGCTGAGTCAGTGGTCTGGAAAAAGGGAGAAAGGGAAAAAAAAAAGTTCATTTCTTCCAAAGAGTCCTAAAGCGGGTCAATAGACTCGGAGCTCGCAGCAGCCGCAGGAGTTGCTCCCTTCTCCCGGCGTTGTGCTGGGTCCAGGGGTGATAAATAGCACCAGGAGCCCATGAAACACTCACCCCTGTGACTGGCTTCTCCATCTCACGACTGGCTGAGAAATTGGGGCCACTGAAATAGGTAGAGTTCATGTGGTGGAGTTGGGCCTCACCAGAGATGAGTCCCCATCCTTCCTGGGCACAACCATCGGTGTGTTGAGGCTGAAGAGAGATGTTGTGCTGGTGGTGGTGGAAGCCTGGGTAGGTGTGGGTCACTCCAGGGCATCACCAACCCTTTTTCAGGACAGATCCTCCCCTCTCTCACAGTATCCACTTGCACCATGTGTTGACCTTGATAAAGCTGAACGAGGCTGTGGCTGGGTCAGGGACACTGTGACCCCGGCTTATGTCCCAGGGTCACCTGGGTCAGTGGCTGGGTTGTTAAACCTAACCCCATGTCAACCAGCCTTGGTCATATGTTGTGTTGGGCCACCTGCAGGGCAACCACCAGCACCTGCCTTGTGGTGGAGACATGTCTGGAGAAGGCTGGGATGCAGAGGTCCATGGGCTGCTGGTCCTGGTGGGGTGCCATCACACCACTGTACTTGATACTGGGACAGAAGGGGCCATTCAGTGGCCCTTTATATGGAGCTGAAACATTCCCAGGCCTTTGTGAAGCATCATCCCCCTCTGTGGGGAGTGCTGCCATTGCCTGGGAGAAGGACAGTGACTCTGTCCTGCCAGCCCTGTGCATCCAGAGGAACGTCCTCAGAGAGCCCGGACAGGGGCCGCAGCTGTGATTAAACACTGATTTAAAATCAAGCAGTAAAAAAAAAAAAAAAAAAAAGAATTAAACCTTTATGGCGGCATAAAAAAACGGGCTAAATCCCTCAGCTGCAGTTAAGCTTTATCTGCACATCTACAGAGCCTGAATAACCAGTTACTGCTGGTGTCCCACTCTGGTGGTGGCTGCCTGGGGCTCCGAGACCAGTGAGGCAGGTTGGGTGCTCGGAGCAGGCAGCAGCACGTCCCTGCACTGACCAGGCTCTTCTGGGCTCTTCCAGCCCCAGCAACCCTGGCTAATGCCATGGGGGCTGCTGGCCAGGTCACCCTGGGCCTGTCTGCAGAGCTGTAGGTCACACAAAGGCCATGAATACTTGGGATTTGACTCAACAGAGCTGTTCTCCATCCAGAGAAGCTGTGATGAAGTGCCTTGAGGCCCCAGATAGCACCGATGAGGGCCATTGCAACCCTCACATCAGCCTCACAGAGAGACTCTTACCACAGAGGACAAGGGGTGAGGGTTTTAAACTGAAAGAAGGTAGATTTAGGTTTAGATTTAGGTAGAAATATGCTGAGAGTGTTCAGGCACTGGCTCAGGTTGCCCAGAGAAGCTGTGGCTGCCCCAACCCTGGAAGTGGTGAAGGCCAGGTTGGACAGGGCTTGGAGCAACCTGGGATAGTGGAAAGTGTCCCTGCCCATGGCAGGGGTGTGGAATGAGATGATCTGCAAGGTCTGCTCTAACCTAAACCACTCTGTTAGTGATTGTGATGATGAGGGGGATCCATCCTGGGCATCCACATTAGAGCTGGTTGTCCACCTTCCTTTAATAATGAAGGAGCAGAGGTGTTTATTAGACATCTCCTTTCAGGCCCATAAGGAGCCTCCTCACCCCTTGTTCCTCTCTCCTGGGATGATGGATCTGGGCTGGTGGCCTTTGCTGGAGATTCCACCATGCTGTGCCCTGCCTGTTCTGCACCCAGTGCCTTGGGTGGGATCTGGTTTGGGTGCTGCATTGTGCCACAGCCCTGTGCATCATCAGGCAGAGGCACTTGGGCCTTCCCCAGCTGCCTGATTATGTGTCACAGAGACCTTTGGGGAAGGGGTGATGCCTGCAGCTTGTGACTGCCCCAGCTCAGTCTGCCCAGAGGATTTGACACAGGCTGGGAGCAGGAGCAGGGCTGATCTGTCAGCAGCCTGGTGGCCACCACCAACTCCTGCCTGTTCCAGCCCTTTACCCCCCTCTCCTTGCCCAAGCCCCATGTGTGGGTTGTGGTACCTGTGGAAGTGAGCACGTTGAGGTCCCTCGTGCAGGGGTGGGGGGCACTGCCCTGGTTACTCATTGAGGCTTGGTGGGTGAGTTGATCCAAGAGAAGGATCAGTGAGATCAATCTGACTCCTGTGTGGGGTTAGGGACCGGAATGTGGCACGGGTTTGACTCTTGGGATGCTACATGAGGTGTCCTAGGCCTGCATATGGGCTCAACACTAGGAGCTGGGGCTGTGTCCCCCCACCCCATGGCAGCCCAGTGTGCTGTCCTGAGCCCATCACCACAGCCTGTCGCCTTCCTCTTGGTGTCCCTCGCTTGTTTGGAGATGCAGGAGCTGAATGGAAGGCCCTCTAAGGGGATTGTGTGCCTGTCCAGCATGGCTTGGCCTTGTTTGGAGGCTGTTGGCACTGAGAGGTGTTGTGGTCCTTGCATACTCCACCCGTGTTCCCATGAACGTTGCACAGGTTTTCCAGCCCATCCAGCTGGGAAACATCCCTGGTTCTCCTTCCAAAGGACCACAGTGCTGTTGGGGCATTGCCTGGAGGTGGCTTCAGAGAGGTCTCATTCATTGTTGGGCGCATTGCTGGGTGTGGTGAAGCTAGTGGGACTCATCCCTCTTCCCTGTGAGGTGCTGAGAGTTCCCTGGTGGTGCCCGGGGCTGCTGTGTTGGGGTCAGGGTTGTTCACTGAGGCTGGGGGTGATGTTCCCTGTGTCCCGAGCAGCTCCCTGCCTGGTGTCCCCGAGCCTGTCCAGCTCACTCCCTGCCTCAGTTTGCACCTAAATGCACTCCTAAACCCATCTGTTGGCTGGGGTCCTGTCCTATGGGTGTCTGTCTGTCCATCCATAGCAGGGAAAGTGGGGGCTGGCACCAAGGGGGCTGTTGTGCCAACTCCCCGTGGCCTGATCACTGTGCTCACAGGAGGGGAGGTTGGGGGCTGTGCCACTGTCCTGGGGACATGGGAATGTGGGAACATTGGCCAAGCTCCTGTGCTGGTGCCCTGCCAGGGTGGGAGGTGGCAGTCGGGGGACCCCAAGTCTCCCTCCAGCTGGCTTCCTGGGTTGGAAATCCTGGGATACTCGGCTGCTTTGGGAGGTGCTGAGCCCGGGGTGAATCTGCCCCGAGGCCGCTGGCCGGGGTGCCGGGCTGGGGTGAGGGGTGGGTGCCCAACCCTGCCGGACCCGACCTAACGCCTTGTCCCTTCTTCTTCTGTCCCCCCTCCCTGTCTCTCTTCCTTTCCAGAAGGTGATGCTTCCTACAGGAGCCGCGTTCAGATGGTTCCAGTAGGAACGGGAATCCCAAAGCTCTGTCATCCAAGTGCAATGTCACTGCTTGCTTGTGTTGTCTCAGGCAAGGGATTTTTGGCTGAAATGAATGGATGCACCTGTGTCTCTTTAGAACCAAAAATATTTTCTCGCAAATCTCATTCCTGTTTTTATAATTTTTTTTCTTCTTTTGTTTTTCTTCTTCTTTTTTTTTCTTTTTTTGCGTTCGTTTTAACATCTTCGAGTCCTAGTCAGACATTTAACTGCTTTTCAAATAAAAAAACAAAAAAATTATTAAAAGAAAAAAACAATGGATCTGTAAAGTACCAAGACTTAATAGACAGAGTATGGACAATCAGTTTCTTTCTGTGTTTTGGTGTTGATGTTGTTTATGTGTGAAAGATGCAGTACTTGTGTAGGGAATGTAAATTTACAGTAACCTTTTAAAATCTAGTTACTAATAAGCACTACTGTAATTTAGCACAGTTGTTTAATTGCACCCTCATTTATACTTTTTATTTGATTCTTTCCCATCATACAATAGAGTGGATAGTTTCTAGAATGCCTCAACTTCATGTTTATAAATGAGAATATGTTTAAAGCGATGTAGTATCCCTCCTCCTCGCCATTCACCTCTGGAAAGTTTTAACCCGCAAGAGGGTCGGTATAAAAGGTTGAAGAAAACAATTGCTACACAACCGGCGGAATTCACAAAAAAAAAAAAAAAAAAAAAAAAAAAAAAAAAAAAAAAAAAAAAAAAAAAAAAAAAAAAAAAAAAAAAAAAAAAAAAAAAAAAAAAAAAAAAAAAAAAAAAAAAAAAAAAAAAAAGAGTAAAAAAAAGTAAAAAAAAAAAAAAGTCATTGTTAGTTTATTAATATAGAACCAGAAATGCTGCGTACAGAAAAATCCTCCTAATTGCAACGGTTTACTCCTAGAAGTAATTTTTGTAAACTTAACGGAAGTTCAGATCAAAATAAACCAGAATATTGCAGGACCTGTGCTGAAGCAGTTACGCAAAGTGATATTTCTCTTCTGTTCACCCCCCGTCTCTCCAGCTCTCTCTCCATCATTAAATTGAAATGCTGTTTGTAATGTTTTAGCGATCCAGGCTGTTTTTGTGAATAAAATGAATGCATGTTTTGTGTCATGATTTCCAGCTTGGTTATTTCTCTCCCACCCTTCTGTCCAGCCCTCTGGGTCCCCCCCAGCAGCGATGCTGGCCGAGGTCCCCGTGCCCCCCACCTGTCCACGCGCTGCAGTCCTGCCAGAGCGTGGTGGGACGGTGTGATGAGCCGAGCTGGAGTCGCCCTGGCTGCTAAATCCCCACAGTTAATCCCAGCAGTGGCTGGGCTAAGCCAGCCTGGCTCCTCCCGGGGATATTTCCCGGCTTGACCTGCCCAGAGTTTTACCCAGCAGCGCCAACACCATTTTTTTTGGTAAAATAATATTATTAACGGGTCACGGAGATCCTCGGTGAGGCTCGTTTTGTTGGGACAAGTCTAAAACGAGCTGCCAAAGGTGAGTGGGCTCTGGGTGGCTTTCCAGGCTTGGCCTTGTGCTGGGTCAGCAGGAGCTGTCTGGGACAACCAGAGGGGCTCGACCACGGACAATCCATCATGCTCACTGGTGGTGCTTGGGGAGCTGTGCAGGTGGGCTGGGTGCCTCTTTTCAACTCTCAGAAGGTTCTCCAGAGCCGTCCCAGCCTGGCAAGAGGTAGATCCAGCTGGACCCAGCTCTGCCTTGCTGGGAGGAGGTAGCAAGAGCCTTTGTCCCCAGCTCCAGCCAGCGTTTGGACCGGCATCTGTTGGCCAGATGTGCACTCGGCAGAGGGGCGTGATGGCAGTGCATAAGATCTGTCCCTGCCTGGCAGAGACCTGGCAGGATTGAGCAGAAAGTTCTTGGGGAAAACTGCCCCAAAAATCCTCTCCAGCAGCATTCCACCCAGGTGGTTTGGAGCCCAGACCCTGGCACCCCGGTCACAGCAGTGCCTGAGCCCGGGGTGCCTGTGGGAACGACTGGAGCACATGGTGACAGCGATGGAGCTGGGCCAGCGTGGCGAGGGACAAAGCTCCAGGCCTGCAGGGACTGACTGAGCCTGCCTGTGCCCCAGCAGTGGCATTCCCAGCTCGGCTCCAACTGGGGTGGCACTGGCAAGAGGCTGCTGTGAGCTGGTTCCCAGTTCGTGCTGCTCGGGCAACAGCCGAAATCACTTAGCAGGGATGTGGTGGGGGGTGTTATGGGAAAAAGGAGTCTGACTGTTCCTTTTACGACTGTGGCTCAGGGTTGGGGCTGTGTGAAGGCACAGTCCTGGCACCCGGGAGGAGCCAGCCTCTACCCCATGCTGGGAGAGTGTCCTGGGGAGCAGCACACAGGGCCCTGCATGGGGGGTGCTGCTTCGTCCCACCCACAGCTGGGGCTGGGGACTGCTGGGAATGTCACCCTGGTCTGGCTGTGTCACCCCCAGCAGGGCTGTGCCTGGGGCTGTCGTTGGCATGGAGCAGTGGATGGGGAAGTGCCACTGGAGCATGGCAAACACGCCACACTGGCAGGGCAATGGCAAGGACCATGGGGATTAGCAGGGCAGATGAGCACTGGCAGGGGAGGGGAGCCATAGCAGGCATGTGGTGCTGGCAGGAAGGACATGGACATTATCAGGGGACAAAGAGAGCACGGGCTTCCCCATGTGGGAAAACAGGTTTGGGAGAAAGGAAGGAGGTGGAGACAGGGTGTGATTCAAACCCTTCCTGGGAGTGGGATGGGATGGGGGGGAGGTGAGATATGAGGAGGTTGGGAGATAAGGTGCTGGGTTCCCTCCACCCACTTCCAGCTCACTCCTGTGCTGGGCTGCATCCCTTTGCCTCCCAGGTGAGTGTGTAGGTGGATGGCCCTGCGCTGGATGACCTGGAGCCTTGCCTAACGAGCTCCTGTCCAGGCGGGACCTCAGGCATTCCCTGAGGGTGAACCCATCCTCTCCTCCACACTCAGCCCCCGCCAGGCACAGCCCCTGTGCCGGGCTGTCCCCACCCAGGGCTGCTGTCCCCAGGGTGCCCGCTGGCAGCCAGGTGACACAGGGTGCCTGGAACGATGATAACGAGCTCGGCACCGCACTGAGGGACAACCCTGGGCGCTACCACTAGGGCTGGCTTCGAGTCGCTCTTAATTAACATCCTCATTAAACAGAGTTAGCAGAAGGCCAACCAAACCTGCCTGTGGCCCTCGGGCATGCTGTCTCAGAGGGCACAGCCTGTCCTAATCCCTGCTTGGCCTTGGTGGCGTGGGAAGGGCCAGTTAGTGACACCAGGTGAGGCCAGACCCTGGTGTGGGGTTGGTCCAGTGGTGGTTTCCACGTGGAGTGGCCTGGCTTGGCGAGGATGGATTTCAGGGTGAGCTGCAGGCGAAGCTGGAACGCCCACACTACTGCCAGAAACACCCCCCATCCTGGCACAGGGGCACCCCAGCACTTCGTGGGGTGCCGGGCTCGCCTGTGGGGTGTCACCCACCCCGAGCCCCCCGCGCTGGGTCTCAGCCTGCTGCCGTGGGCTGACGAGCTCTTCGCCTCGCCCCGCCGTCCCCCGGGCTGCAATTAGCAGCCTGACCCCGGGCTGACCCGCCCCCCCGGCGTGGGGATGGGGCAGGATGCAGGAAGCGCCGAACAAAATGTGCTTCAGCTGAGCCGGATGGCGGGCTCGCTGCGAGCGCCGCCGGCCAGGCGTGACCTCCCGGCTGCCTGATCCCACTGCCGGGGCTCGGGGGCTGCTGGGGCGGCCGGGGCCGAGGGCTGGGCAAGGGAGGCTGCGAGAACCTTGCTGGTGGGGTGGGAATGTCCACGAGTGCCGAATGCTGGTTGCTGAGAGGGGACCCAGTGCATGCCCGTTCACCCCAAGAGCGGGTTGGGGTGTTGGGATCTGCTCAGGCTTCCATGGTAGGGACACTGCACGTCCCAGCGGGCTCTCAGGGATGCTGTGCTTTTTGTTATCTCTGTACCAGAGCAAGCCTGAAAAGGGCTTTTCTCAGGGAGAAGGAACCATGGAAGATACTTTATCCATGAAGGCTTGACATCCACATCACCTCTGAGGCTTACAGAATTCCTGACCTACCGTCACACTGAGATCTCCCTGTGCCTGAGCAGGGGCAGGAGGATGTTTATCCAACAGCATTCTTTGTAAGGACCCTTTCAAAGGTCCTTGGGTGGGAGCTGACAGGTGAGAGCTGAAACCCATTCCTACATCCCACCACCCCAGGTGTCCCAGGCAAGGCAGAGCTCCAGTGGCTCCAGCTGGCCAAGTGCCTTGGCTGGCTGCCCTGCTGTGGTTCTGCAGGAGGCTGGGGATGTCACTGCAGCCATCACAGGGTGGTTTCTGCACAGAAACTGCCCGAGGTCCTCCTGCCTTGGGGACTGGAGTGCACCACAGCTGGAATCCTGCCTGTGCTGTGTCCATGGAGAAGCTGTCTTGGTCTGGAGTCAACTCCCAGCCCTGCACCACGATCAATGCCTGATTATCCCTGATGAGCGGGCAGGTGCTCCCCGATCCGTGCCGCTCTCCCAGCCAGCGCCCGGCGCTCCACAGCCCACGCCGAGCCGCGGCGGCTCCCGCGTAATCGGGGACTGGCTGCTGTGCCAAGGCCGCTTTCAGCACTGCGTCAAGATGTTTTAAGGCCAGAGCAGTCAGGATTTGTGAGAAATAGGTCGGCCTGTGACAGCAGAAGGAGGCTACTCAGTGCAAGACGTGGCGTTACCGGGCACGGTGTGAGCCTTCAGCCCTCGGCTGACGGTGGGTGGACGACAGCGGCTGAGCAGGGGCTTAGCAGAGGTGACAGGTACCACCAGGCTGAGCTGGGGGTTTGCAGCCTGCAGCCTGCCTCGCCCTCAGCCAGGCTTTGGAGCTGACAGCCCTGGATAAGCATTGGTTGGCAAGTTGTGTCTCCCCCCACAAAGTGCTGCAAGTGGATGTGGTGCTCATGGAGGTGTCCAGATTGTATTGTGGATAGTGGGAACACAGGACCAGGATGCCCTATCCTTGTCCCCTCAGCCAATCCTGCAGTCCCCCTTGTAGCTCTGACCCACCCTTGTAGCTCTGAGCCAGGGCTGGAAGATGAGATGCCCATGGGGCAGGAAGAATGCCCTGCCCTCTCCTACCTTGCCTTTGAGAACCTTAGGCTGGATTCTCCTGCAGCAGGGCTGGCTGGATACGGTGCCCCAAGCCTGCCCCATCACACAGCCCATCTCCTGGAGCTCAAAGGAGCCTGGGGCAAGCCTACCAGGGCTGAAGGAGCTGTTTCTCTGTGTGTTGTAGGCAAACCCATGAGTCAACAAGTGCTTATCACAGGTTACACTAAACCCAGGAAGGGTGCAGGAACAGGGCAAGCATGGATGAGACCTCCCTAATCATTAAGTTCCTTGATGATCCATCTGGTCCCACCTGCTTTCTGGCTTTGCCTGTTCTCTTCCACCTGGTTGAAGGGAAATTGTGACCAGGCCACCTCCTGCCATGAAGGTTCCTTTTGGACAAGAAGACATAACAGGACAATCTTCCCCTCTCATCCCTGCACGTGCCACATCAGAGCATCATTTTGCCCTGGCAGAGCCCTGGGTGACCCTGGGTTTCTGCATCTCCTCACCTGCCCTTGCCACTGAGGTGTCCTGGGGGGTTTGGGTGTGGGCAGGTAGGTGATGCCAGCACCCACCTGCCTTCTGTCCTTGCAGGGGGGGACAGCAGCAGTGAGAGCCAGCTAAGCCCACCCCCCGGAGCTGAGGGCCAATGCCTCCATCAGCACATCCCGCTTGACCTTTACAGTCATTAATTTCTGCATTTTACCTGACGTGCTGGCCCTGTGCTTTTGAAAGCTCCATCTGCTGTGGGCAGTGATACCTCCGGCTGTGGCATGGCCATGACCCTCCTCACCTCCAGCAGAATTAGTTTTCCAGCTCTGGGAGTGGACCAGGCGGGAGACTGGCCTTGCAAGTCCTGCACCTCCCTCTGGCAGAGCTGAACCGTGCTGGACAGTGAGCAGGAGAGCTCAGCACAGCTCAGCACCTCTCAGCTGTGCCCTGTCACCCTCTGGATGCTCCCAATCCCATGATGGTGGCATTGATGCCATTGGCAACCCTCTGCCTTGCCATCACGGGCACACATCTCCCACTGCCAGGCA